GTTATGACATTGGTCATGATGATGCACTTTAGGACCAGGATTTGGTCCATGCAATGACCAATGCGCATGACGGTCCATTGTTGCGAAATGGGATCGCAAAGGAAGATGAAGAGGAACGTAAAAGTCAGAGCCCAAACAACAACGATTCCTGCGACAACGTAGATCCACCTGCTCAATTGCAAGGAAAACGCGCGGTGGTAGAACCAGAGTTGGCTGAGCTTTAAGCATGCTAAAGCCCAGAGATAGACGAGCGTGAATGCAAAAGTCACCTTGAGGATGTACTGCAGGTTGTTGACAACTGTTCAGAACATGATTTAGTCTGAGAGGCATATCACAACCATTGGGAAAGGGTTGTCGACTTACGTTTTGGATAAACGTCGGACTCTGGATCAAAATCGTAGCCAACCCCTGATGTGAAGACGGCAACATTCAGGCCGATGGTGCTGCACGATAACAGCTACGTAGAGTCAGTAAACTCGTATTGATGTTCGTGGCATCGTGGTGACAAACGCAAGCAACGACGGCGAGAATGTCGTCTCCTCCGATCCCGATTCCCCTGAATCGACCCCACAAGCGCGCAAACACGACAGATACGAAGACGACACATAGACAGCCAATGGCTATCAAAGAGTTTCGTGCGCTTGTTGTCATCGGAATGTACTGCACTGGCGGCGTCGCCACTTCCGCGGGTGTAGCCATGATGACCGGCTGGCTTGATCTCGGTTCAACTTCGACGGATAGATAGGCGATGAGCGCAAGAGGACCAAGATATCAAGAAGTGGCCCGTTGATGGGGGAAGCACGACATAACTAGGAGATATACCGGGTCGATCAGCCCCAGCTGTTAGAGTTGTAATGTCACGGCCGTCGCATTTGAAGGTTCTTCAGCTTCTCTCACATTTCTAGCCACCCTTCAGAAGGCAATCGACGGGAAGATCTCTCTCGGTACGGTCCAGCTGACATAGAACCGGGGATCTGTTTCGCGACGCCGAGATTTCCAGCGGCCCTGGTTCGCGGTAGGGTCAAATGGCCTCGCCTCGCACTTTTACGGGTCCTTCATGCCAGGAACTGCGACACCGTGACTCGTGGGATTCTAATGACGGGCTAGTAACCCAAAATGTGATATGAAGCGACTTGGGGGTCTGCCAGGGGGTTCGTTCACAAAAGGATTCTTGTTGGCGACAAGTTGACTGACAGCTTGTGGGTCATAGATTTTCTTCGCAGACTTGCTTCACTTCGATTGGGAGAGATGCGTCATCCCATCGGCAGTTCCATACACTACAAGCAGCAATAGACTGTTTGGTTCAATTCCCGCGGGCAGTTACTCTGGGAGGTCTTGATCGATGTCTCGTATTGCCTGAGGCGGATGCCTACCTAGATGCCTAGACGTTGCAAGATGATCATCCACAATATTTACCCGGCATGGTGGACATGGATTCTTTGCATAAGTGAACACTGAGCTGCAGACCCCTCTGGTAGAAAAACAAATACAGCCTCACATGCTTCGCCGGGTGCGAGAAAAATGTCGCGGTGTCTTGGCATTTGTTGGTGACAGTGGGTCTTTGAGTTTTCTTCGAATCCTACCGGCAACAGTCCCCGGTAGGCCCAGTTCCCCGGCCACCGTTGGAAATTGGCGAGGATGGGGTCCCAGGACACGCCGCGTTGGTCCAACCAGACCAACCCCGAGTTTGGGAAGACACAGTGGAGGAGGTCAATCAAGCGCTTCCCAATTGGTGAATGATGGGAGGCCTTTTGATGGCGCGGCCGATCATCTCCGGAACCAGCAGATTGGGCCCTGAACTCTCTGAACTTTGGGCTGACCGAGGTGACAGTAACGGTTGTCCTGTCTGTCGGGACTTATCGTCGGGACCTAATAGTAGCCAGCTATCCGTAGAAGTGAAACGTTGTTAGCGCATCCTCCTGCCGGGTTTTCAGGGACCTGGGAATTCACATGGAGCCCAGAGTGGCAACCGGCGAGATACTTACTTCGTTGGGAAGACGACGTCTTGGGCCTGTATATTCGCTATTTGTGACGAAAAGCATGCTCATGGATGCATATCCCACGCAATGCCAGGATTCTTCACCTGCGCTATTTGATATCATGTCAATCGCAATGAGTTCCTCGGTAATCTTTCTGACCAAAATTCCAGAAAGAAGCACGTGTGAGAAACTGATCGAGACGACGTTCCAGCCGTCTCCAGATCGCGGGCCGTTGCGTGACTCGGCCGGGACGGGGCTGATGGTCCGTCTCTCGCTCTTTTTTTGACACCGTTGACAAGGGCCGCAAATAGTTCTGTGCCCTCGGCGGCTGGCGAAATGGTGAAGAGAGTGTCATTGAAGGCGGATTCCAGGTGGAGTTGTCTCCGTCCCGGGCCCTGGTCCGTTCCAACCAAAACGCATAAAGCCATTTGAAGATCTGTGAACAATTTGTCCTAGCGCTGGATGCGTTGCATTACGGCAGTGCTGTCTTGTGTTTCTCGTACCTACTGCAGCGGTGTGGGATCATCAAGGAGAGGACTCGTTCGCACCCATCGCGCCGCGTATCGAAAACCTACGACAGAGTTCGCTTCGCAAGACATCGCAAACCGTCTGCGGCTCTTCTATCCCTGATGATCTCCAGTATGACTGACACTCATCGTTCGAGCTCGTCTCCCAAGTCCATGCACTACGAGCCATCTCCATGGGGAGGCAGACAAAATCCCAGAAACCTGCATCGGTGTATCGTCTCAACTGGGCATTCTTCAACGGCCAGTCGCTACATATTGTGGACCGCCCCCACAGTGATTGCGCACTAACAGCACTAGTCGACTCGTCGTCAGGGTTGTGTCCCTTTCTCAGGGGCTATCGTGGTCGTGTCTGTTCATCTCGCCGCGACGGGGCTGTGACAGCAGTCCGTCAACCACTCAGCTCGCCGTTTTTATGAATGACCCGACTGGCTGTGGACCGGGTGATAAGTGGAATGCAGTTCTTGAGCTTGATACTTGACAGCCATGCGCAGTATATAGGTCTCATAGGAAACATGCGCATGAAGTCGCATTGCTGCGAGGATCGCCTTCCCCTCTTCCCTCCCAAGCGTGTGTAGATGCCACCCCGCGGTTCGCGTTCAACATGGCTGTGAACTCAATAGCCGACGGCCTCAAGGCAGCTCTGACTCCCATGGCCGTGGTCTACTTCCTTGGCCTCTATGTGGCCTACTACATCCTGGTCGCGCTGTACAACATCTCGCCTTTCCACCCTCTGGCCCGCTTCCCTGGGCCCAAGATCGCAGCCGCGAGCTACCTTTACGAGGCATACTACGACTGGTGGCTGCTTGGAAGATATGGCAAGGTTATTGCACGGATGCACGAGCAATACGGTAAGTCATGGTAGCACTAGTCATGAACACGGTTGAGTTCTGACAGAAAGACCCGAGGCCCCATTGTCAGAATCAACCCCGATGAGCTTCACTGCTCGGACCCTCTCTTCACCGATGAGATCTATGCCGGTCCGGGTCGCATCCGCGACAAGTGGCAGCACCAGCTGAACACCGGCGGCGCCGGCCCCGTGTCCGTCACCGGCTTCTCCACCGTCAACCACGAAGTCCACCGCATGCGCAAAGGCGCCCTGTCCAAGTTCTTTTCCCGCCAGCAGATGCTCAAGCTGGAGGGCGAGGTGCAGGAGTTTGCTCAGCTTGCTATCGACAAGATGCTCAGGTCCGCTGGCAAGGAGCCCTTTGACGTGAAGGAAGCCTTCAACTGCTTCACTGCCGACATCATTTCTCAGTATGCCTTTGGTGAACCCATGGGCTTCATCGCCCAGGAGGGCTGGGAGCCCAACTTCGCCACCTGGGTCAAGTCTTTCTTCAAGAGTGCTTACATGATGAGACACAATGCTCTCGGTAGAAAGATGGCGCAGGTGCTCCCTATGATGGCCGACTACATGGGTGAGGACATCAAGTCCGTCATGAGACAGATGAACGTTGTCATTCCTGGATACATCCAAGCAGCTCTGAACAACCCTGAGAACGGAAGAGTCTTTGCCGATCTAATGGAGTCCAAGACGATGCCCGAGTCTGAGAAGTCCATGTACCGTTTGTCGGGAGAGGGCTTCAACTTCTTGCTGGCCGGTACCGAGACCACTGCCGTATGTCGTGCTCCAACTTTCGAACTAGCGTCATGAACTGACCGACATAGGCCACGCTCACTGTCATCACCTACTATCTTCTGGCGCAACCCACGACGTACGCCCGCCTGATGGAGGAGCTTCGGGGTGTTGACCCCTCGAACCTCAAATGGACCGAGCTTGAGCAGAAGCCATTCCTGTGGGCCGTCATCCATGAGTCCCTGCGCATGATGCCTGGTGTTTCCCACCGATCGGCTAGAATTGCTCGTGAGGAGGACCTGGTCTACAAGACTCGTGACGGCAAGAAGGAGTGGGTCATTCCCAGGGGCACCCCCATCGGCATGACCTCCATGATCAACCACTGGGACAAGGAACTTTTCCCTGACCCTGACGAGTTCAGCCCCGAGCGTTGGTTGGTGGATGGTAAGCCCAACTACAAGCTCCAAAAGTATCTCCTTGCCTTTGGCAAGGGTAGCCGATCGTGCATTGGCGAGCAGTAAGTCATAGCTTTCCTCAAGTTTTGGGGTCTCCGTACTAACACTTAAGAAGCTTGGCTTACTGCGAGGTGTACCTCATGGCGGCCCTGATGGCTTTGCGTGTTATTCCCAGGTCGAAGCTGTACAACACCACCGTGGAGGATATCTCTTACGACCATGACTTGATCGTCGTCCAGACGAAGAAGGGTTCCATTTCTGTCAAGATCCAGATTGAGTAGAGATGGTGTCAGCGACGGTGAAAGGGTCCAAGCTACGTAGTAACACATTGTGCGTGTGTGTAATGATAATCAACACTCGTTCTATCCAGACCCAAGGAAAGCGACAAAGGAGACTGTCTGTTAGCGCCATGCCACCGGGCTCAAGTGAGGAAGCTCACAGCCGGTATCCTGATGGCTGTCTACTTCTAATAACCTCTTTGCCCACTACCCATTCGACTACCTGCCTCCCGCCATCTCGGCCCCCAAGCCCTGACTGCTAGTAGCATCGGAACAGAGGCAAAGCAGGTGGCCCCATATGCGGTGAAAGTCCAACCTGTCCCGAACTCTTCCACGAGTAGCTGGACGACAGCAACACCGGCCGCGGCCGCAAGGGATCTGACTAGGTTCATTGCTATACTCGCAACCCCGGGATTTCTTGGATGGAGGTCCATGTACAATGTGAGGCAAGTCTGCATCGTTGTGAGCAACAATACGTGCCGTGTGGTGGTTCCAAACTCACGTTGCTAATGCCCGTCGACGCGAGACAACAGATGAATTGCGTGATCATGATAAGGCCCAGGTTTATCTTGTACTCAACCGCCCAGCCGTAAAACACCGTTGAAGCGATTACCAGTGGGAACAGATACCATACAGTTCGGAGTCGGGCACGTTCAATCGGGAAGCTCGCAAAGTTGTGTCCGACAAAATCGCTGATGGAGATGCCATGAGACCTCGCCACGGCGGTGTAGTCATGATCAATGATCTTTCCTACTCGGTGTCAGAATACAAACATGCAATGGGGGCGAATATACGCACCAACTGCGTATGCAGATATGAATACGGCCAAGCCATACGGCACGTAGCACAGGCCCGCTTGCAATCCATTCAGCTTGTACTTCTCCATGGCCAGGTGAGCGAGCGAGTCCTGGATACACGTGAAGCTGAGATGAACCAAGGCGTTTCCCGCAAGTATGAGCGCATCTAGCCGTCGGAAAATAATCTTCAGCTCCCGAAAAGGATTCAGGAAGGCATGTGTTGATGGGACAAGCGCTTGGGTGTCCGGCGCGGCCACCGCTTTGTCGTCGGGAACTAGGGCTGACGATACCGGCCAGCTGACTTTTCGTTCCATCTCAATGCTATCGTTTACGGTATTTTGGCAGGTTTCGGGTAGGAAGAAGAAGAGGCAGGTCCAGCAAGCAATTCCGAAGGCGAGAAGAAGCCAGAAAGACTGATGCCATCCTATCTCATCATCCATGATGCCTCCTACGAATGGACCTACAACGGGGCCAAGGTTCACTCTTTTGCAAATGTTAGTGCAATATTTACTTAGGTGATTCCCATAGTTTACCCAGTCAGCATTGCGCTCATGTACCTGCCCCTTGAATGAGCCGGGGCAGCGTCGCTGACAACCATAGCTCCGAGAGATAGAAGATCTGCTAAAGTAAGCAAGGCTCGATGACATTTGAGGTGGAAGCTCACTTGATGTTCCGGCACTTTGCATCATTCGAAAAATAAGCAGCTCGGAGTACGACCGTTGCAGTGCTAGTCCGATGCACGACAAAGAGAACGTAAACAATGAGACTAGATACACCGGTCGACGTCCAACATGATCGGCAATGTTGCTAAGCAAAGCCGGAACAAGCCCTTGAACGATGAGATAGGATGTTATCGTAATATTTATGAACTCGATGGATACGTGTAGCTCTTCCGACAGGGTATCGATAATGGGAATGTAGATGAAGACGCTGAGAGGAGCAACAAACGCCGCCAGGGCTACAAGCAAGACGACCCAGTGTCGCTGCGTCCTTGAGAATCCTGCACGGCGCGATTCTCTTGGTGCGGCGTGGTCTGATACGCAAATGGTGGATGATGGGCTAATGACCTCGACGCAACCTTCACTGAGGCTCGGTCGTGCTGATGTGTTGGTTTCTTTCATCCTGGGACGGGCGAGGGAAGATGTCGACACGGAGCCATTCTCTCGACAAGAGGAAGAGGAAGCACATCATTATGGAGGCTTTTAGCCATGGCTCATCTCCGGGGATGTCTTGGCTTGAGAAGACGGGCGTTTTCCCAGTGTTGAGCATAGATGGCAGATGATTGCGGCTGTCTATGATAAGAAGATGAGTCATTCTTTTTCCCCCCCTCTGATCATAACACATAGTCGAGCAAGCTCATGTCCCTTTCGGTCGACGTTGCGAAGACTGAGACCGAATCGGCGCTCTCTATCCGGGGAATGAAGTCGACATCGAGAGGTCGTCACACGTGCCCGAGTTTGTGGCCGGTGGCCACGATAACGCCAAGACTGTCGAACAAGGCTTTCCAGAAGTTCGCAAGCTTGACCTCGGCGGTTTCACATGCGACGGCACTTTGGTCAACGGTAAATGAAGTGTCGTTTGTTTTCTATCTCTTGCTCTATCGGTGCCGGCCTATCGGTATACGTCCCGCCGAGACAAGCCGTGAGAAAGTGAGACAAGCAATCTATTCAAGCTCAACCATCCTGGGGTCCGTCCAAGGGGCTGACAGTCGGGTCCCAACAGACTGGCGCGTACTCGTCCGTCTCGAGAGACTTCATATCCTCGTCCGACAGCTCAAAGTCGTAGACCTCGGTGTTGGCCAGGATTCTCGCGGGGGTGACGCTCTTGGGCAGGGGGATGTATCCCTTTTGCAGACTCCATCGCAGCAGGACCTGAGCCTCGGACTTGCCGTGCTTGTCGGCGAGGGCCTTGAGGTTCTTTTCGCCCCATCGCTCTCCCCTGACCAGCGGGCTGTATGCCTCGATGGCGACGTTGCGCTTCTGGAGCCACTGGACAATGTCGTCTCTCGCGCACCACGGGTGAATCTCGTATTGTGCGACGGCGATGACGCCACCCTTGCCGGCCCCGCGCTCCGCCTCCAGCTCCTTGATGTGCGTCTCGAGCTCGTCAAGGTGGTGCACGCCGTAGTTGCTGACGCCGATAGAGCGGACTTTTCCGGCCTCCTGAGCCTCGACAAGAGCCTTCCAGGCGCCCTTGCGACCTTGGGAACCGCCGTAAGGGCAGTGAAGCAACATCAGGTCAATGTAGTCGAGACCGGTCTCGTTGAGGGTCTTCTCAACCTGGGTCTTGGCACCATCATAGTTGATATGGCGGACCTTGGAGGTGAAGAAGATCTCGGACCGAGGGACGTCCTTGGTCTTGTGGATGGCGCTTCCGCAGCCTGCCTCATTCTTGTACGAGGCGGCCGAGTCGATCTGCGAATGTCAGATCCCCCGGGCGAGCTGTGTGGGTCAACGGTGGTCTTACATGGCGGTAGCCAACCTTCAAGGCCTCAATTACGACCTCCTCGGCCTGCTCGGGGGGACTATACGAGTGTCAATGGTGATACTGCCAGGGCGTGCTTTCACACAAACTCACGTCTTCCAGAGCTACTCGGCTGTCAGCAATTGGTGTCGGATAATCGCGCAAGGGGAACAGCACATACACCATATCCCAGCACGGGGATTTCGTAGCCGTTGGGAAGCTTCTGCTTGGACTGGAGGGTGAGAGCGGCGGCCATTGTGTGGTTACGCGCAGCAAAGCGTTGTGGAAGTGGTCGCAAGTCAAAGTGAGGGGGTTTCAGTGGAAGGCGCAGATATCGGGACGAGTTCGCAGCCCAGCGGTTCGTCCTCCCGAATGAGGCCATTAGTCATGGGGCACTGCGCTCACTGCACTGGGCTGGGACGGCTGTGTGCTCTTCCACGGGATTGCGCCTTGCCCCGTTGGCCTCATTTGCTGCAGCTTCGGTGTTGCTGTGCCGAGCTCATCTCATCAGTGCCGTTATCGCACCGCTGAGGGCACTCACGAATCGCGTTTCAGTTGTTTGGGGGGCCTGTTTACGTCATACGAGGGGGAGGGGCAACAGGCCATTCCAGACACAGACAGCCCGCCTGAAAATGTTCAAGCGGGAGCTTTACCCCGCCATTTGCCCCTCCATCACTGGAAATATTGCAAACACTTGAACATTGCTGCCAATCGCTGGGCAGGTAAATATTTTGATATCTCATAAGGTCGTAAGTAAATGTTTTTTGTGTCTAAATGAAATAGTAGCCATCTCATATGATGGTTTCTTCGCCGTCGCCATCTCCTGCTGCTGCCGCGTCGTCGTCTTCGTCGTCGTCCAGGTCGTGGATGGGATACGACAGGATGGCGGCGATGCTGCCCAACATGTCGAGTCGCTGACCGCTCTCGTGGTCGCTGCTCAGAATCCTGACTTCACCACCGTCTGCCTTGACCTTGTCCACCATTCCCACGTACTTTTTCCTTGTCGGGATGTCGGAGCTGCGGAACAGGGAGTTGTTCATAATAAGAACGCCGCCGCCGGGTCCGATGGCTCCCTCATTGACGGCCTTGGCAACGGACGAGGCTCCGTACCATGCACGCCCGTCTTCCAATCGTAGCCTCTCAAAGAACTGGTCCATCAACCTCGTCTCCTTTGTGAACTTGAAATCCTTCAACTTGGTGCCCATCTCGGGACTCTTCAGGACCTCGTTGAGACTGTGGACATGGCCCGAGTTTGTGTGAATCACGATGGCCTCCTTGGCGATCGCCGACAGCTTCTTGTCCGACTTGTCTCGCCCCTCGTCCTGAATGTATTTCCTGAAGTCGGCGGCGACGAAGCCCGGGCTGGCGAGAAGCAACGGTCTGGGCTGATCGAAGTTGACGGTGCGAAGTAGGGAGGTGAGGATCTTTTCGTAGAAACGCTTCATGCCCTGGGATGTCTCGGATGCGGCACTGCGCTTCTTGGGGATGACACTCTCGATGCGCTGCTTCACGACGGTGCGGAACTGGTTGATGATGCAAATGTTGGCGATGCCCTCTTGCATGACGACGGCGGCCATGGCGCCATCCTTGTCGTCGGAAAGACTCTCGGAGAGGGCCTCCTTGGCGACGGTGTCCCAGCCCTCGGGCTTGCTTATCGTGAATGGACGAGAGATTTCGAGATCGAGGGTGTGGTGTTGGCCGAGACTGACGTAGGCATTCTCAGACTTGACGGTGCCGCTGACCTGGAGCTGGCCGGCGATGGGGTCGAAAAATGTGCTCTTGACGCGGATGACTAGCATGGTGTGGACTCGTTCGGAGATGGTGCTGCCTGTCTTTGTCTCCTGGACGACCTTGCGCACGGCATGGGCCATGACGAGATCGCCTGGGCTAATGAGGTTGTAGGCATGCCACTGGAGCGACGGCGGTCAGCATTTGGTTTCGTGGGTTGCGATGCAACGCGATGCGGTGCGATGCATTGCGACGGCGGGGCAAGGGAACAGAAAAGAACAAAAGCATCTGGCGACTTGACTTACCATATCCTCAGAGTCCTCGGGCAGAAGAGTGACGGCATCTTCGCCAATGTCCTGCGACGACTTGGTCGGGACCAGCTTCATGTTTTTGGTGGCCTGTTGGATTTGCTCCTGGGGAAGACGGCGATTTTTCGCAAAGGAGAAGGGTGAGTCGTGGATGAACATTTCCAAATATCTCGACGCAGATTGGCAGATTGCCTTAGCTCGGGCTGGCCTTGCTGCATGTGGAACAGGGGTCGTGGAGCTAAGGATGACGTTTCTCAGGCGCCTTAAGACAGTCCACCCCGCTGCATCTCCGGTGCGGTGTACCTTTCTGTCACTGAAGCACCTCTGTACGCAGTAGGCTTACCTGGGTGCCTGGGGGTCCAAGCGTCTTGGTCTGAAGGATGAACAGCCACCGGCAATGATGCGGGGATGACCTTTTGTCGAGCAGTACAAAGTACAGAAGAGCACGTAGGCAACAGAGTTGAGGCTTCACCGGGGGTGTGGTAGCGTTTGCTGCGTGGCCATGGTAACAGCCACGCGATGAGCTACTAAGCAAGCCCGCGGGGAGTCCAATTGGGTTTGGAGTCTTGCTGGATGATCCCAACTAACACTCTGTATGTAGGTAGGAGTCTGGAGAAGAAGAGGTCTCGAGGGGCCAGAGCTCGGTGAACAACACAACAGCAGTGTTGTGCCAGCTGAATGCTGAGTGAGAGCAATGGTCATCTGATTGCCGCAGTGGCCAGCACGATTTACAGTTTGACCTTCAGCCATCACCTTAAATCGGCCCCCTGCCCTGTTCACAGACGCACCCCGCCGCCCGACGTTGTGGACAAGATTCCATATTAGCCTCGAGGGTTCAATCGGGCAGATCATTGATCGCAGATCCCCGGACGGTCGTTGTCGTCGCCGTCGGTGTCGTTGCGTTGCGTTGCATTGCCCGGCTTGAGCTCAGGGCAAAGTCGGGCGGCGAATGGGCGAACGACGTCATGAAATGGTCCAGAATTCCAGCCGTCAAAAGTCCATCCTCTCTCTTTCTATTCCCCATATTAATTATGCCTCCTCAAACAAGTAACAAGATACGTAAGAATGCGACATGCTACAATAAGCGATCCAAAGATGAGCCTGATGTGGATGTGGATGTGGCTCAGCATGGGGTATGACCCATTGGCATGACGGAGACTGCTCTCCATTCCATGCTTACTTGCTCTGCTGATTGATACCTGCGTTCAAAGTAATCACCCATCAATTGGTTGAGTTGGATTGGGTTGGATTGGGTTGGATTGGATCGGATCGGATGCATGCTGGCTGGCAGTGGCTGTTGACACACCATTCCGGTGCCTGGCTGCACCAGCTGGGGCAAAAGGCTAACCCGAGGTGGTGAAGAGGTGGTGGCGGTCGTCCAGTGTCCTTCCACCAACCTAGCGTAGTGTGCCCGCGTAGGAAGCCTGGAAGGACGGCGCCGTTCCAATTGGTGTCAGTCAAGTCGGGTGTCAGTGTGCGTGTGTCGTCTTTGGTTTCGCCCTGAGCGTCGCAACGCAGTGCAGTGCAGTGCAGTGCAGTCGGGCACCTCACCTTCCTCTTTTTTAACATCTGAAGCCGGCTGCTGCTGCATTCGGCGCTGCTTCCCTCAGGTTCTTTATTTTCGCCCTACCTCTAGGCCTATTATTACCTTACCTACCGCCATCCTCTTTCCTTCCCTCATCCCGCGTTCCTCTTTTCCCTTCCATTTGCTGTCACTCTCGTCTATCGCGACCAACATCGTCGCTGTTACACCCCTGCGAAGCGGCATTGGCATTGCCCAGTCGCCCTCCGGCCTCCGTCTTGCTCGGGGATTTGCGTCATAGCAGCCCGCGGGTTGGTTTGTCGATTAATCAACAGGCACGCGAAATACGACATTTGCAGCAGCTGCCTCGGCTCGCATTCCACCGCACCGCACCTTTTGTTCCCGAGGACGGAAGAAAAAAAAAAAAAAAAAAAAAAAAAAAGGAAACAAAACCGTTTCTGGTTCCCCCACAGTCGGCGGCTTTGCGAGGGGAACCCATCCCGGTCAATTGCAAGGAAGCCGTGCGGATCAAGCCGCGCATCTGCACTGCTTTTCAAGGTTGTGTGTGTCACTGTCCAGTCTTGCAGGTCCAGCCAGCCAGTCCAAGTCCAGTCCCCGGCCGAGTCCTGGTGCAAAGTCATCGCTTATTATTACATCGACATTACGCATCGACCTTGCAGCTGCAGTTGAAGTTGCTGCATGGCATTTCAGTAGCTTGCGAATACCTACTTACCTTACCTTAACCTGCTTGGTTGAAAGTGTCACAGAAAGGTGCGTCGCAGCGGTGCCCTGTCTTTCCCCGACCTCTTCTTCTATTTCACTGCGCATGTCAACCCCGTCGCTTCGCCCGGAATACGCGGACTGGTTCAACCCGATCCCGCGTACTCCGTATTAGCCTCCATTTCCAAGCATCCGATTCCCACTATTCCCATTTCCCATGTGTTTTCGGCCCCGGCGTCCAGGTCCAGGTCCATTCCCAACCACCCGCAGCCCGCCCAACCGCCTCACCACCGCCAAAAAAAATTAATACCACCACACACAACACGTTCAAACCGCGCGCGCGCGACTAACACACCGACCGCCAGATACCTTACTTCAATTTGTCCGAGGCGGTCCGCTTCTTCTCGTTTCCATCTTTTTTTTTCCTTCTTCGTTTCCTGTTGATTGTCGTATCGGAAACGACGGGAACGAGGAAGAGCGGCCTACCAACGAGAACTCGGTACCTCCCACCCCAATCTCCAATCCGCGGGACCGCACTTCTTTGTTCGTCTTGAACTGTGTCGGTCATCTACAACTCTCCGTGGGAGCGCCAATCATCCCGCCCTCCGGCCGCTGCACCCGTTCCCCCGTCCAATCCCGTTCGTGACCATCGGGTCTCTCGGATCGCTCGTATTGCTTTTTCACTCGACCGTCCTGCTCTTCACTACCACCTGTTGTCCACCAGAGACAGGGCCGCTTATTCGAGATCCACGAAAGCCACCGAGGGCACTTCTCAGCTTACCTTCCCGCGCTTACCTCGCTCACCCGCCCGCGCGCGCCCATTAGCAATTACACACATCTCAGATCACACCGACCCAACTTTCTCCTCCACGACCCAGCTTTACGCGCGGCTTTCCCCTTGCCCACGTTGCGCATGATGGGAAATGTCGACCCCTACGTCCGCCATAAAGCTCTCGGACGCCGGCCGTCGCGATGACGGCCCAGCACCCCATCCTCTGCCTCCGGCGTCCGCCTCCGAGCCTGGTCTGCCAATCCCCGTGAGCCGTGAGCCCTCTGTTACGCCTCACAAGTCGCCAGCCGCTTCAGATTCCCAGACCCAAGGTACGTGAGACGATCTACTCTGGAGCCACTCTTCTCATCTCTCACCGCTGGACACTCGACCTGCGGGAGCCTTTGATCGTCGCCCTTGTGGCGCAGACGTGGACGGTGGATGCTAATCGTGGTATAGGCAGCAGCTTTCCAACCTTCGCCAAGAAGACGCCTACGAAGCTGAGCCGGAGTACGACTCCGAATGCAAAGGAGCTCAAGCCCGTCAAGCCTGCCCCCGCCGCTGTCCATTCTCCAGCTGCCATTGACCCGTTATCCCAAGTGAGACGTTCCCTCGGTGCTTCTCAGGGCCACCTAGCTGACATGTTGAAGCACATTTTGATGCGAACCAACACCGACCACACTGTTCCTCCACAACTCCGGCGACCTCCAGACAGCCCTCTTCCCGACCCTGAGCAGCCAACGAAGCTTGCCGTACACGCATTCGATGCTCCAAAGAACAAGTGCGTGCCGTCGATGGGCTGGCTTTGGCGCAAGTACTGACAGGCATGTAGGAAAGTAGGGGGTTCATTCCTGAGTCGATTGAGCATGCGCGGCGGCCGGAGACGTGACGACGATGAGGAATCTGTTTTTAGCGATCAGCGCACTGAGGGCAATAATGCCCATGTCTTTTCCTCTGTCATCGGTTCCGGCTACATCCCCCATCACAAGGAGCCCCCGCGGTACATCCGCATCAAGGCGCACAACAAGAAGAACCGCGAGTTCAATCGCATGTTCCTTGCCCAAGAGCTGACAATCCCGCAACCCGGAGCAAACGACGAAAAAGGCGCGACGGTGACGACGTCGAACGGTAGCCGCCGTTCGGACAATGGCGGCGCAATTTGGGCAACCGAATTCAGCCCAGACGGCAAGTACTTCGCCGCTGCCGGAAAGGATCAAGTGGTACGGGTTTGGGCAGTGATCTCGACTCATGAAGAGAGACGGCGGCATGAAGACGAAGAAAGCGCCAACGATGCCAATGGGGAGAGGCTTAGTGCGCCTGTGTTTCGGAGCAAACCGGTGCATGAGTTCCGGGGTCACACGGGAGAGGTACTCGACCTTAGTTGGAGCAAGAACAACTTCCTGCTATCGTCATCGATGGACAAGACTATTCGTTTATGGCACATCAGCAGAAAGGAGTGTCTCTTCGCCGCGAAAAGCAATGATTTCACCACATCAATTTGCTTCCATCCCACGGACGACCGGTTCTTCTTGGCGGGATCCCTTGATTCAATGCTCCGACTTTGGAGCATTCCAGACAAGGCCGTGGCCTACTCGGCGCACGTCTCAGACTTGATTACGGCAGTGGCATTTTCGCCCGATGGCAAGACGGCCATTGCAGGAGTTTATTCGGGCATGTGTATGTTTTACGATACCGATGGTCTCAAGAACGTGTCCCAACTCCATGTCCGGTCTTCCAGGGGCAAAAACGCCAAAGGCAGCAAGATCACTGGAATAAAGACCATGGTTATCGATGAGGAGGTCAAGGTGCTGATTACTTCCAACGACTCGAGAGTTCGTCTGTACAACCTCCGCGATAAGAGTTTGGACGCCAAGTTCAAGGGTCTGGAGAACACCTGCAGTCAGATTCATGCGGATTTCAGTGACAACGGACAATGGATCGTGTCGGGAAGCGAAGACAAGAAGACGTACATCTGGTCGGTGCGCTCGGCAGACTCGGAGAAGGATAAGCCTTGCGAATACTTTGACGCACACTCTGACCGGGTATCGACGGCCATCTTCGCGCCGA